CTGTAGCAGGAACTGCAGAGTGGTGAGCTGGAACTGCAGAGGTGAGCACAGCCGGGTGGCAAACCAGTGTAGCAAAATCACTGAAGCTGTGGCAGGCGCCAAGGGGGTTGGGTGGACACAAGGTGTTGATTTGAAGTGTAGCAAAATGGCTGAAGCAGCAGCAGAAAGCAGCAGGGCTGGGCAGTGGCAGCTGGGCTCCCACAAGCAATGAGAGGGGGAAAGGGGAGGGGGTTGGGGTCCCGAGTTTCCCCCGAGGCACCCAAGAAGATGCTGAGGGTCCCTCCTGGTGAGATTGGGTGTAGGAAAGGCCCCAGTACAAGGGCCGCTCTTGCGAGCAGAGGGTCACCCATGGTAAGGAGAAGCGGTGAAGGACAAAACTGCGCAGTAGCAGCAAATTCTCCCTGCAGCAGCAGACCAGCACCAAGACCACAGCTGTCTCTCCTCTAATCCCAGCGGGAGAGAGAGAGGGAGACAGAGAGACAGAGAGCCCTGAGCCCAGCCCCTGATCCCCCCAGTGGATGCGCTGAACCTGTTTTCTCCCCCAGAGGGACACCTATTGGGTAAGAATCATCCTCTGTGTGCACTGAGTATTTTACTGGGGATTAAAGCTTGTCTGTGCATTCCTTCAAGTATTTTTTTTTCAGTCAGACACTATCATTGACAATCTGTGAACCTTAACCTGTCATGATTTTATATTAATAGGGAGTGTTATTCTGAAATTGTCAGTGTGAATCCTTCCCAGGTGCTGGCAGCCACCGGCAGCAGGGAACACACTCCAATAAAGGGGAAGACCTGCTGAGGGGTCTCACTGAGGCTGAGGGTGTTTCCCTGACTGAGTCAGTCGAGCTGCCCTGTGATCCAGCAGGATGGCTCAGTACAGGGTTCCCCTAACTGGACACTGCCTGGGTGGTGGGGCACAAGAGTCTCAGCTTTTCTGGGACACTGACAGACAAATGAAACACTAAGGGTCAAGGAAATCCCCCCACACTAAGAGTTGAGGAAGCCTCCTGCTTTCACGTGACAGAGCCAAAAGTGAGAATTGGGGCAAAGCCTGGGGACAACCGCCCGACCCTTCAGCATCTGTAGCTCCTGTATAATAGGATGCCTCAGGCACTGTGTTCAGGAATTTGCATAGGTCTATTTGTGTCTCCCATGAAAGCCTGCACGCCTAAAAAAGAAATGAATGCTCAGTGCTCAGAGGAAGAGCACTTGTGTTTATTCACATGGAGCCAGAGCTGGGAGTGCAGGGAAGGAGTTTTTCATCATGTCCTGGGAATGTCCATCTTGGCAGAGCAGTTCCTGGTGCAGTGCCACTCTTTCCTCAGATACAATTGACTATTGTTATGTGTTACTGCAATGTTATTGTAAGACTCCCTAAACTCTTTAAACTCTTCTAAACATCATGAAGTACCCAAATGTGCTTAAATTCTGCTTTTCCATGTAACAACTTCTGTTCTTTCAGTGCCCATTGTGTTTTTTTGTCAGAGTTTAACGACCGATGATAACTAAGCACCACATGACTGCTTGCTTCTTTCCCCTCATTGAACTGGGGAGAGAATTGTAAAGGTAAAATTCAGAAAATTCATGGGTTTAATAAAAACCCCCAGACTTTAATAAATAAAGCAAACACTGCATGTGTGAGCAAAGCAATGTAAGGAGTTCATTGACTTCTTCTCATCCACAGCCAAGAGTTCAACCTATTCCAGAAAAGTGGAGCTCCATCATGCTTAATGGTTACATGGAAATACAAATGCCATCACTCAGTATCCTCCCTTTCCTTCCTCTTCCCCATCTTAATATGCTGAGCATGATGTCCTATGCCTGGAATACCCTTTTGGCCAGTTGGGGTCAGCTGAACCAGCTGTGTTCCCTCCCAAATTTTATGCACCTTCAGCTACTCACTGGTGGGTGGAATGAGGAGTAGAAGAGGCTGTGACTCCATGTAAGCACTGCTCAGCAGTAACTCAAACATTCCTGAATTACCAACACCTTTTCCAGCACAGAATCAAAACACAGTCCCATTCTAGCTACAATGAAGAAAATTAACTTTACTCCCCCCCTTTCTCCTGTTCCTTTTACAGTTACTTCCCCTACCCCTGCCTGTCCCTCTCCCCTCCTGGGCTGAGCCTGGCCATATCTGAGGCTCTGCGGTAGCCGCAGAGGAGCATAACATGGCCACCCTTCCAGTGTTTTGTTTTTGCTCCAGGGTATTCTGTGCTGGGAAGAGCTGGTGTAGTTCTGGGCCTTCAGAACAACAAACACTGAGGTAAAATCTCAGAGTCTCAGGCAGGAATCATTCTTCTAAGCATCAGTATTGCAATTAGCAAGGAGGAGAATTTAGGAAGGAAAGGCTAGAGATGCTTCAGAGGCCAGAGCAGATAGTCCCCAGCTGCCCAAGGTTGAAAACCAAGGTTTGTCCCTCTCAGCTGGTGGGGATTGGTGGTGGAGCAAATTTTAACTCGGCAGACAGTGCAGGACCCCACACAGGAGTAAGTGGATATGTCTTGAAAAACTCTGTGACTCCATGGAGAGCTCCCATTGGATCAGGCTCCTGACAGGAGCTGTGGTTCTATGCAGTGAGTAGCCCATGACAGAAGAGGTTTTCTGGCAGAACCTGTGTCCCACAGAGGAGCCACAGTGCCATGGTCTGTTCCTGAAGGGTTGCACCCCATGGAAAGGACCCACTGGGCTGGAGGAGTTTGTGAAGAACTGCAGCCAGAGGGAAGAACCTACGTTCTACGTTGGAGAAGTTTCTGGAGAATGGGTTGGACTCCCCACTGGAGACTGGGAAGCGAGTAAGAAAGAAAAGGCAGGAAAAGTGTGTTTTGAACTGATTGCAAGCCACATTTCCCATTCCTATGCTGTGATCAGGTGGAGGAGATGTTTCATGATTTGTTCTTCTTTCTCATTAACATACTCTGATTTGATTGGCAATGACTTGAAATCCTTTCCCCAAGTCCATGTGTTTGCCCATGGTGGCATTGCTGGCACAGCTTCCTGTTGTCATCTCAATCCACAAGCCTTAATTGCATATTTTTCCCTGTGTCCCGTAGAGGAGCAGCACTGTGAGAGCAGCCCTCTGAGCCCCTGGAGAACAACCAAAGTGAACTCATCACCCCTTCTCAACTCCTTCTTCCTGATCAGGTCCTGTGTAGCAGCCACACAGAGCAGTGTCATCCCTGCTGATCTGGCCTTCCTAAACAGCCCGGCTGCATCCACCACAGCACTCTGGAGGCTACAGGAACACGTCTCCATCATCCCATGGCTCTGCAGCCAAGGCACAGAGGAAAAATGAGGCCGTGCTGGAGCCCAGGCAACATGCATGAAACCTGCACCTCCCCAAACAAACAGCCTCTGCAGTTCCCAGAACAGATCCTCCTGTACCATAAATGGTACCAGCCCTTCTACCACCCCTCCCTCCAGTTCCTTTTAGTGCCACCAAGCCCAAGAGGGATGTTTCCTGCACCTGCTGTTTCCTGACAAGAGCCCTGGGGAGCAGCTGTGTGTTGATTTGGCACAGCCTGTTTTTTTGGTAGCAGGGGAGAGCCACAAAAGTAGCTTCTGTGAGAAGCTGCTAGAAGCTTCTACCACGTCTGACAGAGCCAATCTCTCATGGCTCTGAAGATGGACATGCTGCTGGTCCAATTAGAGAGCCTGGTAACGCCTCTATGATAAAATATTTAAGAAGAAAATCAAAACACACATGGGCAGTTTTTTCCAGTGGTGGTGATGCGCTGCCACCGAGGTCATCCTGGTGTGCCTGTAGCAAGCCTTGCCTGCCTGGCCACCTGTAGCCAGCTGTGCTGTGGGCAGAAAGGCAGTGGCAGTGGTGGCTTCTCCTTCCTGCACCCTGCATGAGGAAAGGTGTTAAGTAACACCAGTGTTGTGGCAGCCTCCCCAACCACACAGTGGCGGCAGGGCTGCCTGGCCGATGGCGGAAACATGGCGAGGGACTCCCAGACATAGAATCTACATAAGATCAACTTCTCAGCACTGCGGGATCCTGAAGGAATCTTCAAATTGGTGGAACTTTTTGTCAATGGTACCTACAAGCAGCAGGTTTTCTGCTAGTCAGAGAATAGAAGGAAGTGAGGACATGTGAGGGAAAACAACATGGCAGCACCAAGGAAAAAAGAGAGGGAGGAGGTGTTCCAAGCATCAGAGCTGAGATTCCTCTGCAAGCTGTAGTGAGGACTATGGTGAAACAAACTGTCCCCCTGTAATCCATGAAGTCCACAGGGGATGCAGAGATTCACTCACAGCCTGTGGGAAAAGGGCTCACACCAGAGCAGGTGGATGCTGGAGAAAGCTGTGATCCAGTGGGAGACCCAAACAGAGAGAGAGAGGGATCCTGCTTCCAGATAGAGAGAGAGGGCCCTTGCTTCCAAACTAGAGCAGCCTATCCTTAGAGGATTTCACCCCATGGATGAGTGACACATGCCACAGCAGTTTTGGGAAGAATGTTTGCCCGTGGGAAGGACTCACGTTGCAGCAATTTTGGCAGGACTGCTGCTTGTGAGATTGGAGCTACACTGGAGAAGTTCACAGAGAACTGTCTCCTGTGGGAGGGACCTCACGGCATAGCAGAGGAAAGACTCTTCTTCCTGAGCAAACAGAAGAAGATCTCAAGTGCTGAACTGACCAAACCCCCCACATCCTGTCTCCCAGTGCTGTCGGTGAGAAAGAGGGAAAGCCTGAGAGGGAAAAAAACAGTTTCAAAGACTTATTTTACTGCTCCTCATCCTCCTCTGACACTAATATTAATAAATTTACGTCATAGTTTTATATTTGAACCTTTTTTGCCCTCAGAGTGTTTTCTCCCAGCCCCCATCTCAACTCCTGAGCCCTTTGTAATTTTTTCCCCCTCTTCTCTGCCCAGCTAAGAGTAAAAGAGAGTGAGTGAAGGGCTTTTGTGGAAGCCTGGCATTTGGCCAGTGTGAAACCACGATAAGCTGCTAAAAGGAAATGCTGAGCGATCTGTCTTCCCCATCTGTTGGTTTTTAGTCCACTCTGCTGCAGAGCTGCTCCAGGGTGTCTCTTGCTCTACAATAATACGTTGCTGCATCCCCTTGCTTTGCTGCCAGGATCTGCAGTGGGAAGCTGTTCTTGGAGCTCTCATCTCTTATCTTAAAGCGATCTCGGAAACCTGCTCCATAGGTACCGTCCTCATTGTAAATCCATTCCCAAATGCCACTTGGGCCCTCACGGTACCAGGACATGTAGTAGGACCTCATAGAAGCCCCCGTCATGCTGCACTTCAAGGTGACTGCATCTCCCTCTTCCACGGTCAGTTCCCTGGGGTGCTGCTCCAAGGTGAAAGCACCAGCGAGTGAGATTGCTGCAGGGAGCAAGAACAAGCCACAGTCACTCCAAGATTCAGCAAAAGTCAGGGAAAACATGATGGACCATTGGGAGGAATAAATCCTCCTCTTTGCAGCCAGCTGACACAGATGGGCAGAGCTGACAGCAGCTATCAAGGCTCACAAGGAAGTAGACACTCCATATCAAAAAGCAGGAAGGATTTGAAGGATGTGGGGACAAATCCCTTTGTCCTTGCCAGGACAGGATGGCGAGGAACCCACTCTCATTCCCCTGCAAGTGCTCTAGATGAGCAGAGGAAAGACAAAGGCCTGTCACGGGCAATGGGGCTGGGTCCCTGTGCTGCCATCCCCCAGCTGGGCTGTGCCACAGGGGCCGCAGTGCCCCAGGAGCAGTGTCCAGTGCCAGGCCAAAGCACTGGGCCCCAAGAGCTGAGTGCAGCAGGGAGGTGCCCTGCGTGTGCCCAGGCTGCAGAGGAGGCAGCTTGGATGGAGGTGCCGAGCTCCTGGCCAGAAGAGGAGCAGGGCTGCTCTCACCGTGCTCCACAGGCACAGCTGGGCAGCTCGAGCCAGGGACCAGAGCCGGCTGCAAGCGCTCAGCACAGCTCCCCAGAGCCGTGCAGAGCCCAGGGCCACGCTCAGCCCCTGGGACATCAGCCCTTCCCTTCACTTACCTACAATGGGCAAGAAGCCCACGCACAGGGCACTCCACATGGCCAGGCCCGCTCTGTCTGGCCTCTCTCCACCTTCTCTCTGCCCGCACAACAGCTCTGCCCAGCCCTGCCCTGCCTGGGCCTCTGTCCCTGCACTCAGGCCCAGTCCCTGCTGGTCCCTCCCTCAGTCTGTGACACCAGAGATGAGGAGAGGTGGGGCAGGAGGAGCAGAACTTGAAGCTGTTGGTGCCTTCCTGGGTGTCTCTCACCCTGTGTGCTCCCCATCTTTCCTTTAAGCCCTCCTCATATTCACACTTTCTGTGATCCTGTGAAAGAGCCTCAGGCTTGGTTTGGAGTGGGTCAGTGGGAACACTAAATTGGAAAATATCACTCCTGAACCACAGCAGCCTTATTTGGCATCCAGTGTGTGGCACGAAGGGTGGAGAGAAGAACAGATCTGCCCAGAGTGGGTTGGAAACAAATCTGATCCAAGTATTACTTGTATTGCTTGTATTGGCCACCGGTGCCAATGCTGCTTGGGCTGTAGCTGTGGCTGTGATAGCTAACCCTGTGCATGTTCCTGTATGTGCTCCTCATGATGATTTTGTGCAGGGCTGTGGGCATTGACAAGGGGATTGGGAAGTGGACAGAAACTCTCAGCCTCTGGGGTTGATTCCTGTCAAGTGTTAGAGAAAGATATTCTCCCAAGGATGATCTAGCAGTGCTCCCAAGCGGGTGGAACACCGTGGCCAGAGACTCTATTTGTCATTAAAATAGAACTGTATGTGCAAAATACCTGTTAGAGATGCCCAGTAATGAAGGCTCGGGTGTCTCTACTCTGTCTGCTTGCAGGTTATGTTTCAATACAGGTCACAAAAGATGAAGTGTCCTGATGATGGGAGGCTTTGGTGTAGTCAGGAATCAACCAAGGCTCTCCCTACAGAAATCATAGAGTTGGTATCTATTTTCAAAGCTGTGCTTTGGAAAGGCAGACATTCCCAGGAGCACTGCAGTGCACTCCCCAGTCCTGAATAGTTTTTCAGGGGAAGATCAGGTTCTGAATCCTTCAGTTCAGACCATATCTGCTGACTGAAATATAAGAAAAAGAGAGAAAGAGAACTTGCCCTTGCAGGCAGATAATTAACCATCCTCCTAACAAGTTCCTGTGATGGATATGCCCGTTTCAGCTCTTTGCTGCCTATCCTGAGTTGTTCTGCACATATATAAGTGGATGACTTGCTTTTGGGGGGATTTCAGAAATGCAATAGTGATGATGTCCTGAATGCAGCCCCACATAGTTCTCCTTCCTCCACCCACTCAGGGCACACATCACTCACTGCATCCTGAATAAGGTCCAGATCAAATCAAGGCTGTAGCTGAATTAACATTAACATTGTGGTGCCCACTTGGGTGAGCCTTGGGTTTCCTCCTGTCATTTTCTACACACCACTTTTCATTTCCACCATTCTCCTCCCCTCCTTCAGTATTTCCTGGCATTTGGAAAAGAGAAATGCTTAGCCCAGAATTCAGCAAACCCACAGTTTCTCACCTGTGAATCCAAGGCAAAATCTGAGAGTAACTCCATTCTGATCACAAGTCAGGAATGGGGACTTACTAAGATATTTATCCTGATCTCTGCATAACACAGGCAGGAAGACCAAGTGTAAGACTGTGCTGTATTTGAGATTGAGATTCCTAAGGAATTTTGAAAGCAGTGCTGCAAGAGCTTCCCATATTCTACTCCATTTCTTCTGTTACAAAAAATGTCCAGCTCTAACCCTGTTTACTCTGAAGTTTCAAATGAAGCTTCTCTGAATCTCACTTCAGTTTTTCAGCTCTTTCAGCTGCCTGGTCCTGGACATTCTAAAGCCTCTGGATCACTTAGCAGAAGTTTCCAATGACATCTGCTGCCATGGGCAGAATGCAAAAGAAGTTTAATTTGTGACATGTGCAGACACAACACTACCTTTGGGGTGGTTTGGGTGGTTTCGTTGGTTGGGTTTTTTGTGTTTTTTCTCGTGTTTGAGCTATTTACTGTATTTCACAAAATTGAAAAAGTTGTGAGAACAATAAACACTTTGGCCAGAAGGTAGGAGGAGAGATCACAGAAAGAAGTTTAGTTTACATCAATATATCTACTTTTACTAGGAACATTTTATTATTTCAGGACACAAAACAGATAGGTCAGGTTATGACCAGATGATGCAGGAACAGGATTATTACATTATATTTTTAATGCTGTATAAGAAAACAGAAGGATTCAGTGGTAAAAAGCACTATTTAATAATACCCCTTCTCTTGGAGTTCTTCATGATGCTTCCCCACATAACCTCTTGGGGAAAGGTTTATTCTTTCAGGATGCTTTTAATATTCTCAGCCACAGGAGAGAGCTCTCACCATTCTGACTTGCTCAGCAGGACAGATTGCAGACACCACACTCTATGAGTGAGACTCACCAAGGGAGAGGAAAAATAAATGTGCTATAAATGAAAACTTTCCTCAAATTACTTAAAAAGATTTATTGAAGTTCACATTGTGGGTGGTCTTGTCCCTGAAACTACGGGAAAACCAAAAACTCTCCAACAGCATTTTTTAGTGTTAGAGAATCAAGGCATGACTTTCTTTTGGCCAGGATGTTGTTCTGGCCAGGATGTGCTACAGAAATAATTTAATCCACTCATTGAGCAGGTTGTGCAGAGAAAATCCTTCCATTACTCA